CAAACAGAAAATGGTGATAATCTCTAGACAAACAGAAAATGGTGATATTCTCTAGACAAACAGAAAATGGTGATATTCTCTAGACAAACAGAAAATGGTGATATTCTCTAGACAAACAGAAAATGGTGATATTCTCTAGACAAACAGAAAATGGTGATATTCTCTAGACAAACAGAAAATGGTGATATTCTCTAGACAAACAGAGAAAATGGTGATATTCTCTAGACAAACAGAAAATGGTGATATTCTCTAGACAAATAGAATCCTAGTAACTGATGTCATGGCATCATTGTTGGTTAATGACTACAAATGTAGTGGAGTTTATTTTATTTATGTAATCTCTCCATGATTTTTTCTTAGCTTCTTCTATTGCACTTTTTAGTTTGAATAGATTAAAATTATGGGTTGTAGGTTGAGTATTAAATTTTCAGTGCTACTCTACATAATCTAATTGCCCTTTTACAATCTTAGTCAAACAATTGTCATTGATGTTTATTTGATTCACTGCTTTTTGGCATATATTTTCTCACAATTGCTATTAATGTTTCAGACAAGTATTCAAAAGATTTGTCATCTTTTTAAGTTTTTGACGCCATTAGTTTTTATATTCCCTCCAATCTGCTTTGTTTAGTTTCCATCAACGGAGATTGTTTCCAATTGCTTCTGAACTCTTCAGTGTAATTGAGTAGTGATCACTGCCACAATTGTAAAGTACTTGCCAATTGTAATCCATAAAATAGATTGGGGGGGGTCACACAGTGATAGGTCAATAGTTGAGTACATACCTGGTGCAGGATGTAGATACATATTAGACTTATCATTTAGTTGTTGTTAATTACATTTTTTAGGTTTTTCCCCCTTTTGTTCAAGTTTTGGATCTCCATTTAACATTGTGACTTAACGTCACCTAATAATATGAACAGTTTCAGTAGTTGTTCTACTAGTTTATTTAGATCAGTTTCTTTTATAGGATCATGTGGTGGGATGTAAATAGAGCAGATGTTAACGGGTCGATGTAGGGTAGTTTTTGCAGCAACTACTAGTAGATTGGTTTATAGAAGTATTTTACTTTGGTGCTATGCCATTTCTGATTAAGACTGATATGCACCCACCCCCAGATGTCCTCTGTGTTATGTATGTAGTTATGTTGAGTATAGTTTTTTTATTTTTATTTTATTATTTGGTTTTAGGCAAATTTCTTGAAGGCAAATGTAGGTGGGAAGTGTATTTATTATAAGTAGGAGGAATTCATTTATGTTCGCTTTTAGGCCTTGACAAGTTCACTGTATAATTTTTTTGCATCATGTTTATGTATTAGGGTGTTATGAGTTTTTGTTTGTTCATTTGATGTTTGGTGGGTGAGGTGTCCATAATTTCTATGATCTCTGGTCTGTTAGCACTTTGTTTCTTGTCATGTTTCGTTCTTTGAAGGTCTTTTGTTTCTGTTTGTTTGTTTGATCTTGTTTCTTTTGTTTTTCCATTAGGTTCTTTTGACGATCTTTGTCTGAATAATGACCATTCCCTTATTTGAGATGGGATAGAGTTTTCTTCATCTATGTCCATTTCTCTTGGTTCTTCAATGATGTACTGGGTTGTGTTATTTCTTTTATGAACCTTTTGATTCTCTTGTGAATGTTTGAAGGGTTCTATTTCTTGAAGGATTTTTTAATTTATATTGGAGTTATTTGTTTTGTACTTATAGATTCATTTTTGTTTGAGGTTGAAGGGATAGGATTTGTTTTGACTATGGGAGTTTTGTTTATGTGTGATATACTAAATTTTAGTAGTTTTATTAGACTTTTTAAATCATTTATTAGAGTTGTAAGGTCTTGGTTTCTTATTAAATTGTTCTCTTCGATGTCATTTTGGTGATTTGCTATTTTAGTAATATTTGCATAAGATGTGAAAAGTGAATTAGTTTCAATCTGTTTTCTGGCTTCTAGAAACAAGATGTTTTGCATGTATTTTATTCTTATTATTTGCTCTTCCTTTTTCCAGATGTTGCATTCTTTAGAATTTGCTGATTGGTTTTATTTGCAGTTCGAGCATAAAGTAGGCCTTTCACAGGATGACTATTCATGATCAGACTTAAATTACGCACATCTTCGACAGACTGATACTCTCATACATTGATTTTGTAGATGACCAAATTTCTGACATTTGTGACATCTACAGGGATTAGGAATGTATGGCTCTACCTTGGCTATTGTGTATCCTATCTTTATTTCTTTTGGTAGAGTAGATTCATTGAATGTCAAAATGTATGTTTTTGTTTATTGACGTGCTATTTCTTTTTATTTGTATTCTTTTGATGCCTGTTACACCTTGTTTTTTTAGGGTGTCATCATTTTTAATTTTTTTCAGTAAGCTGAGTGACAGTTCTGGGCATTTTATTACTCCTTTGGATGAGTTAAGAAATTGGTGGGAGTAAACCTTTACTTTCATGTCATTTATTTGACACAGACCCTATAGTTGTGCTGAAAGTGGATGTGAGCACCTGCATTTCTCCACCATATCTACTCAAGTATAGTATGATGGTAGGATTTGCAGCTATGTCCCAGCCATTCTCTTTCATCCCAACTAGCGCTTGCCACTATGTGAGTTGCCGATTGGATTGGATTAGGCTATTCCATCCACCCGTCTATCCCAGTTAGGGACTGAAGTGACATACTGTGTAAAGTTTTGGTCATTTTATACTGGATCAGGAGTCACTCAGTCATTAGGACTCTGTCCCTGGGCGTCACAGGCCACTACCCATGGCAAACAGGTGTCCCCCATTGAAGGGAATTTGTAGTTTTTGGGAATTGTTTTTAGTAAATGTGCCTCTTTAAATATTGCAATTTTATAAGTATTTTGTATGGACAGGTAATTTAGGCATAGTGCTTTGTGTAAACGGTTAGCTTGTCGATTATAATTTTTGATTAGTTGTTTAAATGTGTCTTTTCTTAATTTCAACAGATTATTTGTATGGAGAAACCATATTATTTTCCTGAAGGCATCATTCTAGCTATAAATGGATAGGTTGTAAGTTTATCATATAAGCTGATGGCATATAGGTAAAGTTTGCCTCATACGAACAATTATATTCTAATTCATCTTGTTTCCTAGACTATGCATGGTAGTATTTTAATTTTCTATCCAAGACGTGGGTGAAACTTTTGTGAAAAAATACCTGTTGCAGTTTAGCTAATTTCCTTGGGAGCATTAGTCATTTCTTTTCCAAAAATGTATTTCTGATACGTTCACTACAAAACTGTATTTCTACCCTTTTGTAGTATTTTGACCTCAGATTAGGAGTAAACTATTTGACCATAGATGGAACCCTAGCAAGTGCAACTATCCCAGGTCAGGGTGGACCTGGGAGATACAGCAATTAAGAGGTGGTTCCACACTACTCCAGATGAGAAGCCCTGCTGCCAGATGTAGTTTACTGTCATATCCAGGACATAAAGAAAAATGAAGTAAATAACTTAACTGTAGTAGTAAGTCATTTTTAATGAAACTGGTATATATGTCAGAGCTGTTAGTGTCTGTTGGATTTTAATCAGCCTACTGTGAGTAGAACTCATTTTTTTTTCTATACTTGTTCCGTATACCACATTGTGCTACTATTGATTTTGCATTTAATGGCTCTCATATATATATATATATAATTATTAATTTAAAAATATGGACTCCAACTCGCGACATAAGAGGTCTCATGTTTCAAAACAAGAGCCGAAAACTTCAATATAATTATTTGAATTAAATTGAAAAGTAAGCTCTGTTCCATCTTCAAGCAAAATTTTTTTGGAATCATTTCGTGAGTTGGAATCATATTTTTAAATTAATAATTATATTTATGCTCTACTTTTGTATCGAGCACTATTTTTTAAAAATAATAACAAAAATACTAAGGAAAATTGGATTATTTACCTAACCAGTTCTTTCCTATTTTCTATATTTTCATATATATATATATATATATATATATATATATATATATATATATATATATATATATATATATATTCTGGTCTCTAGTTGTCGATTTGATAAGATAATAATTTGCACCTATTATCTTAAAACTCCTAACACATTTTATTTAGACATAGTTTTGTCTTTCATTCTAACAAGGAAAAAGCTGAACCATCAGCAAAGGCGTCAGCAAAAGTTTTTTTCACTTAGTCCAAACTTTTGTTTCAGATACTATTATACATTTTACTAATTTGAAGTTTCATGCTATTGGTGAGTAAAATAATGTATGTTTATTAATATATACTTAATAGCTCTGTTATATTACATTGAGCACTATTTTATTAACAACAGCACTCAATGTGCGATATATATATATATATATATATATATATATATATATAAATAAATATATATGCATGTATTTCGGCACCATGTTTTCATTCAGACAGGTTTTGTTAAATAATATAGACATGTTCTGTCCAATTATCTTTGATAAGATCCTTTCATATTCACCAATAAGCTTTTATGTGTGGCTGTTAAAAGATGAGAGGAAAACACTGTGTTGGCTCATATTGTATTTATTCTGAGTACTTTCGACATAGCATAATGTGGATGATGACATTATGCTATGTCAAAAGTACTCAGAATTATTTAATAAAACCTGTCGGAATCTCTCTCTCTCTGTCTATATATATATATATATATATATATATATATATATATATATATATATATAATGTTTTTTGTTTTACAAGTATAAAAAAAGAAGAAAAAAAATCCAAGATGGTTTTTGTATGAAAGAAATGAAAGCTAAGAGTAATAGTAGTTGAAAAACTCTTGCATATAAAAATTAATGATACTAATTATAGAATTTTTATAAACTTGAAAAAAAAAGGATAATTGAATTATAAATTATAGAAATTAAAAAAACTTAAATTGTAAATGATAGAAAATTATTTGCAGCAAAAAACAAAAAAAAAACCTGTCATGCAAAAATGAGAAATGCTAAAATGGTTTACAATAAAGAGCAAATCATAAATTACCTGTCCAGGACATATGATACGGCACGACATACGATTTATCTGCAGCAGGTTTGATGGCGTAGTGTCAAATTTGGCTGCTATGCCCACCAGGGTATCACTTGGAGTAACCTGAAGAAAGAAAATAAAAGCAATCAGGTTAATTGATGGATATTAGAAAATGCAGAAACATTATGGTGAATTTCTAAGCATGGCTTAGATGTATGGAGCACCCAGTGAGGGTCAAGTTCACTATTCAGTTGTAATCATTCTGTGAGACAAGCTTGCTAACCATTGCATTATGTCGAGGTACACAAATGATTTTATAAGCATAGCTTAGATGTGGCACAAGGCTGAAAGTGTGGGGCACCCAGTCAGGATTTAACTCACTTCTCAGTTATAATTGTTCTAGTGAGACAAGTTGCCAACCATTACACTCCAATGCAGAAGCATCCTATTATAATTGTACTTGTCCCTACCTTCATTAGTTTGCACGACCGTTACATCCTGCCAGTACCTCATAAATAATGGGCTATTCTATTTTGATCACATGAAAGAGTGGAAAAGTCACTACTCTATTCTAACAATTTTTTTTCTCGCACTTCTCATCTGTGTAATTCTCTTCTGGCTTCTTGCTTTCCAGTCAACTTTGATCTTCAAAAAATTTAAATGCAATGTCAGTCATTATTTACTGTCTTCTTGGTTCCTCTTCTTTTATTATTCTCACTCCTTAATAATGTTTTTTCTCTTCTTATTCTTTCACACTCAGTAATCCTTTGTGTCTCAGTGTCTTGTGAAAGATTTTTAAAAAATTCTGATCATTATGAAATTCCTAGTGTTCTCTCTATATCTCCGAGATGAGTTATTATGAGTATTTACATTATTCGGACTGTTATCCTCATCTTCATTGTCATATTCACAATGTTTCAGCCATTGTATGTGCTGACCTTCTTCAGGTGATTGAAATTTCAAACTGAACCGTTTGTTTTGTCCACCAGGATAGACTGTTCAAGTTCCATATGCCATGCCTCTAAAGGGAAATAACAGAGTCATCTGGAAGAGGCATGGCACGTGGAACTAGAATAATCTACCCCGGTGGACAAAATAAAGGGTTCAGTTTGAAAGTCCAATCACCTGAAGAAGTCCAGACGGCTGAAACGTTATGAATATGGCAATGAAGATGAGGATAACAGTCCAAATAATGTACATAATGTAAGTTCCTAGTGTTCTGATTAATCTAATCTATGACTTTCTTCAAATTTTACAATTTTTTTTAAGGAAAAAACATGTTCTCTTTTTTTTTCTCTTGCTGATGTAAATCCCAAAATGCTATGTTAAAATAAATGATCAATTTGTTTCTTTAGTGCCCAATGATATAATGTGGAGAAGGTTGTAATGAACTGTTCTCAGCCTGGACTGTTTGATGTGAATATACTTGTATGACTTACAGTCATATCACATTGAAACTCCAGTTTTCATTTGATCACTGAAGTTAAGAAATGTCAATCCTGGGTAACTGCTTTGGAATACCAGTTGCTCTAAGCTTGGGCATGCAGGTGGTGTAATGGATAACAGCCTAGAATGAGAACACAGAGCAGAGTTCAAATTCTAATTGGGTTCATTATATTTACTTACACGCATAGGGAAAGGTATGAATCTACCTTTTCCACCCCCTCAACTATGGGTTAAATAGTAGGACTTGTATCTGAAAAAATATTATTATCTCCTAAAAATGGTTAATACAATATTTGCTGGAAAAAAGAAATTATGCTTACAAACCAGAAATATGTTTCAGCTTTAAATAATCTCCAAAAGGTTGATAAGTCATAAAAAACAAATATGTCAATAAAAAAAAATGTATTTGTATCTAATTGATACTGTAACAAGACAATTTCTGCCAGTGGTCAGTCTTTGAGCCCACCTTAAAACCAAGGTTTTTTTTTAAGTCAGGAAGGACCTACTTATCACTTAGAAGACTGATGCAACACGATCTTCTTACTTCCTCCTAAGTTGTCTTTCTGCTCAATTAAGCTAAATCTCTTTCTCATATATTTTAGTATGCCTGTCTAGCCAATCCCTATTGCAGACACCCACTCAGGCACAGAGCCTACCTGTGGTTTATATTGCAACTATGCTGTGCGGACCTTAGTTACAGTTTGAACAAAGCTAGTATGCTCAAACTCTCAGTCACAATGACTTGTGACTTTGTGCTATCACAATACATTGACAGTTCCCAAAGACTTGTCAGTTAAATTAGGTAGATGAAACTATTCAGAATTTGTTGCTAGCACAAAATCACAAGTCATTATGACCGAGGGTCTAAGTGTACTGACCTTGTTCAAACTCTTGATCACATCAAATAATGCACTTTCTCTTCCAGAAACTAAGGTCCACTCAGCATAGTTACAGTATAAAGCATAGGTGGGCTCTCTAGACAAAGATTTATATACTATTAATGTTATGTATTGAACAAACACAAAGGAGCCTGAGCAGGTGTCTGTGACAGGGATTGGTTAGCAACCCTAGCAGATGTGTGTACTCAGTAACAAGTAGCAGGCCAAATTATGATGGGGTTGAAAACTTTAATTATTTTCCATTTTTTAATTAATTTATTTTTTTTTTTAGGGTTAATTATTAACTCTGAAGCCTACCTTATGGTTGAACACCAATGAATGGTATAAGGTTCAATCGCAGGTAAAAACCAGGATTTAAAATTTTTAAAGCAACCCAACATTTTGGTTCATTCAGCTGTGAAGCTGCTATTGTTACTCCTAATACATTATTCATTCTCTCTTTCTTATGCCATTATGGTGGGTTACATGACCTTGAGACAGAAAGTAAAATCTGCAATAGCACTGAGTGGGCAGAGAAAACTTGGCTTTATCAGATAAAAATTTTATTGTAAAAATTTTCCCTTTGGTTATTCAGAAAACAAGCCAATTTCAAATAAGTGAAATTTACCCATAATAGATTTCTTTTTTCATATGATATCTGATGTTGTTGATGCTCAGACACTGTGTTGGTTTTTAAAAGTTTATCTTCTATGATATTAGTAATGTACTATTTTAATAATAATTCATAACAAGTTTTCCATACACACATGTCCAATACATGGAGATATATATATATATATATATATGTATATATATTAGATAAACCTAGTGAGCCAGACAAACCTACCCAGGTTTCACCTAAGCGATCCGTAGGTTTGTCTGGCTCACTAGGTTTATCTAGGTCTGCTCTACGGTTGTATTGAGCTCTTTTGTTAGTTAGTTGTTTACTCATGTCAGGGTTTTTTCTTTGGGCTTCAAACCTGTATCTGTGCAATTGTTTTTGACAGACTTTCATGTTTGTAGCTCTTTCTTTTTTTAAAACCTTTTTTTCCCCCCTCGAGATTGATTTGATTATTGGCAAATCAAAAATTTGAAGGTTTTTCGAAACGAGTATAGTTACCTATATATATATATATATATATAAAACTTTCTTTGAAGATGACTGGCAAGTCACTGGGAGTAGGCTTTTTATTAATTTTTTTTTCTTGCAGTTATACAAGTATTTTCTTTTCTGGACATAATGTGTATAAAAACTGTTCAAATGTTCTGTGGATCTGACTGCTCTTGGCTAATCTATTATCCATTCTTATGTTTTTTTAACTGAATATGTAGCTTTTTATATGTATGTATCAATGGGAATGATTTTTTTAATTTCTGAACACAGCACATTGTGGCCATGTTCGAAGTTGATATTGTTGAGAGTTGACTAAAATAAATAGAAAATTTTTAAGAACTTTCACTGGTCTTTAACCAAACTAGTGTGAACAAGGTCAGTGCAAGGGTTTCATAACCCTCTTCTTGAATCTATGATACAGGGTCCCTCATTCTACTACATCTCAATTTTCACAAATTTTATTGTAACCTAAAAATTGATCATATGCAATATAGGTGAACAATTCAACTAGAAAAATTGAAAATAAATACAATATATCTAAATAGAAATTAGAGACATGTAATAAAAGAGATCATTCCATCTTAAATAAATCAACAATCTTTTGCTGCAATTTCTAACATCAACTTGATATTTTTCTTGTTAAAAAGTTGAATACCTTTAACACATTCGATATTGTGGACAAAAAATAGTGGATTTTATATAGAGTTTTTCCATGACTTAGCATGAGTAAAGCAAATTCATGGATTTGGGCCAGGAAAAAAACAAACCCCAAAATGACATTAAAATCCACAAAATATTTTCATCTTTTATAGTCAGTTATGCTTAGTTTAATTTGTAATTTATATAAATGTAGGAAGAAAAAAAGCAAATGTTCATAAGATAGGATTGGGGGCACAGGGGTAGTACACACTGGCCATAGGTGTGCGCGCACACACACACACACACACATATATATATATATATATATATATATATATATATATATATATATATATATATAAATAATAAAAAACAAAATAAGAAAATTGACTGACATTTGCTGATATCTCCTGATGAGTGGACTGAACAGTTGCATGAAGGTTCATCTACAAAACTCAGGAGTAGAGGCGTTGATAATAACATCAATCATCTGACTGACAAATTTTATATCTATATTAATCCTATGGGAAAACTATATGAAACTTGAAGGAAAAATTTATCACCTGTAATAATTGTCACAGTGTAACCCGGATATAAGAAACCCGGATATGAGAGATTTTCTCTGGTCCCAAATTAGAGCCTGTGTTAATGTATATAAAATAGACCAAACCTTCTTCTCTAGTCCCGACAACTCTCTTATATCTGGGTTACACTGTATAAGTTAAACATATGATAAATCTCAAGGAATTTAAAGAAAGGTTTATATGAAAACAAGAGATTTTGCAAAACAACATGCTAACTGAATTAGTTGCTCATTATGTTTCCGATTGTAATTTTCATTTAAAAAATACTATGTTAATTAAAAGAGAAAGCATTTTACTAAAATGTTCAGAAAGTGCTTTAAGATCATCCACAGTAAATCTACATCCAGTTTCTTATAAGATTTTACTTTTCTTGACAGATCTTCTATTATCACATTTGAGGAGATTTAATAAAATAAAGTCATGGAAACATAAGCAAAAAGAAAAAGAAACTAAATGAAATCA